ATTGCAGTCTCGCCTGTATCTGGCTGAGAACGCTATTTAATTTACAGTCAGTTCAGGTGGTTTATTGCGTCCTCGCCTGTATCTGGCTGGGAACGCTATTTAATTTACAGTCAGTTCAGGGGGTTTATTGCGTCCTCGCCTGTATCTGGCTGGGAACGCTATTTAATTTACAGTCAGTTCAGGGGGTTTATTGCGTCCTCGTCTGTATCTGACTGGGAACGCTATTTAATTTACAGTCAGTTCAGGGGGTTTATTGCGTCCTCGCCTGTATCTGGCTGGGAACGCTATTTAATTTACAGTCAGTTCAGGGGGTTTATTGCAGTCTCGCCTGTATCTGACTGGGAAGGCTATTTAATTTACAGTCAGTTCAGGGGGTTTATTGCAGTCTCGCCTGTATCTGACTGGGAACGCTATTTAATTTACAGTCAGTTCAGGTGGTTTATTGCGTCCTCGCCTGTATCTGGCTGGGAACGCTATTTAATTTACAGTCAGTTCAGGTGGTTTATTGCGTCCTCGTCTGTATCTGGCTGGGAACGCTATTTAATTTACAGTCAGTTCAGGGGGTTTATTGCGTCCTCGCCTGTATCTGGCTAAGAACGCTATTTAATTTACAGTCAGTTCAGGTAGTTTATTGCGTCCTCGCCTCTATCTGGCTGGGAACGTTATTTAATTTACAGTCAGTCCAGGGGGTTTATTGCAGTCTCGCCTGTATCTGGCTGGGAACGTTATTTAATTTACAGTCAGTTCAGGGGGTTTATTGCGTCCTCGTCTGTATCTGGCTGGGAACGCTATTTAATTTACAGTCAGTTCAGGGGGTTTATTGCAGTCTCGCCTGTATCTGGCTGAGAACGCTATTTAATTTACAGTCAGTTCAGGGGGTTTATTGCAGTCTCGCCTGTATCTGGCTGGGAACGCTATTTAATTTACAGTCAGTTCAGGGGGTTTATTGCAGTCTCGCCTGTATGTGGCTGGGAACGCTATTTAATTTACAGTCAGTTCAGGGGGTTTATTGCGTCCTCGCCTGTATCTGGCTGGGAACTCTATTTAATTTACAGTCAGTTCAGGGGGTTTATTGCGTCCTCGCCTGTATCTGGCTGGGAACGCTATTTAATTTACAGTCAGTTCAGGGGGTTTATTGCGTCCTCGCCTGTATCTGACTGGGAACGCTATTTAATTTACAGTCAGTTCAGGTGGTTTATTGCGTCCTCGCCTGTATCTGGCTGGGAACGTTATTTAATTTACAGTCAGTCCAGGGGGTTTATTGCAGTCTCGCCTGTATCTGGCTGGGAACGCTATTTAATTTACAGTCAGTTCAGGTGGTTTATTGCATCCTCGTCTGTATCTGGCTGGGAACGCTATTTAATTTACAGTCAGTTCAGGGGGTTTATTGCAGTCTCGCCTGTATCTGACTGGGAAGGCTATTTAATTTACAGTCAGTTCAGCGGATTTATTGCGTCCTCGTCTGTATCTGGCTGGGAACGCTATTTAATTTACAGTCAGTTCAGGTAGTTTATTGCGTCCTCGCCTCTATCTGGCTGGGAACGTTATTTAATTTACAGTCAGTTCAGGGGATTTGCCGCATACAACGTCTGTATCTGGCTGGGAACGCTATTTAATTTACAGTCAGTTCAGGGGGTTTATTGCGTCCTCGCCTGTATCTGGCTGGGAACGCTATTTAATTTACAGTCAGTTCAGGGGGTTTATTGCAGTCTCGCCTGTATCTGACTGGGAACGCTATTTAATTTACAGTCAGTTCAGGTGGTTTATTGCGTCCTCGCCTGTATCTGGCTGGGAACGTTATTTAATTTACAGTCAGTCCAGGGGGTTTATTGCAGTCTCGCCTGTATCTGGCTGGGAACGCTATTTAATTTACAGTCAGTTCAGGTGGTTTA